CTCTCTCTCTCTCTCTCTCTCTCTCTCTCTCTCTCTCTCTCTCTCTCTCTCTCTCTCTCTGCCTCTACTACCCTCCTGGATCCCCTCCCCATGCCCTGAATATACTCTATTCTTGCTATACCATTGTGTGACTGTCCCTCAGGGAGATGCCTCGGCATGGGCCCGTTGAGACATCCCCTTCCGTCATTGGTCTCCTATCCTTCAATGAGTGCATTGAACAAAATCAATTGACTCCCAATATGTAGCCCAAAGCCACCACATTAGAGGCTTCACCCCAAGTCCTGCCTCACACTCACTTGAGGTATCCATCTTTCCTGACTTGTGAAGATGGGAAAGCCTCAGGTTTCCTTAGTCACTCTGAGATTTAAAATAACAACAAAACATAACAAAACAAACAAGCTCTTTTGACTGCAGTAAGTTACAAAACCTGTTAGCGCTCGGCTACCTTTCAAAGTAGAGTCTCCCCTCCCTGTAGCCCAGGCCTCCCCTAAGAAATGACTGTGGACTTCCTGGCAATGAGCAAAGAGACACGGTGTTGGCGATGATGTTCTTCTATCAGTCAGGGCCAGAGCAGATGGCAGTCCTTTGTTCATCCTAGCCTGATGTCTGGCTTGGTGGTCAAAGCTATTTTATGCTTAGGACTCATAAAAATCAAATCAATCAAATCAAATCCAGGCAGCACAGAAGGAGAAGACAGAGACCTGCAGATTGCCACGGTACCCACAAACCTGGCCACCAGTGCACGACACAGGAGGGCAATAGACACTTGCTTACCAATGCTCTATGCCCTACAGCGTGGATGGAGGATGTTACTCAGGGGCCTGCTAGCTGAGTGGCCAGCCTGTAGCTGCAGCCACCACATGTGCAAATATATGGTGGTCAGTGGGAGAGAGAGAGAGAGAGAGAGAGAGAGAGAGAGAGAGAGAGAGAGAGAGAGAGAGAGAGAAGAGCGGAACTTGAGCATTGTGAAGAGAGATACAACTGGAGACTCGAGGGTGGAGAGGAGGAGCCTCTTATGAATGGCCAGCTCTGCCACCTGGGGCCACCGTGAGGTGCCAGTCCACCTCACCACATGGGTACAGAGGCGATATCTCCACCACTACGTCTGGAAGTCAGGAAAGCTGTCCACAGGTGTATGAGATTGGGAGAGCTCTTCCTGCCCCTTACTAGCTATAGCATTTGGGAAAGTAGGCCCTGTATCTCTCCTGGGTAGCACAGTAGTGCTGGCCTTAATCAGGGGGGTGCAGGTGACCCGGCCCTGAGGATGAGAGTGAGGGAGAGCTGGTCCCACCACTTGTCTGCCATGAGGTAGCATGGGTGCCCGGGGCGGGGGGGTGATGCCCCTCACCCCTGTCCCTCATCACCTGCAGCAGTTGGAAGGGCTGACCCTAGGGTCATGAGAGTGGGTGAGCTGGCCCCATCCCTTGTCTGCTGTGGCACTTGGGAGAGTGGGCTCTGCACCTCGCCGGGGCAGCACAGTAGAACTGGCATTGGTAGAGTCCCCTCCCCTGCCCCAACATGAGCCACCCTGAGGGCAAGAGTGTGAGAGCTGGCCTTGTCACTTGTCTGCCATGAGGGAGGGGTGTGGGGTGATGCCCCTAACCTCCTTGCACCTGCTGACCCTGAGGTCATGAGAGCAGGAGGGCTAGCCCTGCCCCTCACTGGCTGTAGCCATCAGAAAAGTAGGCCCTGCACCTTGTCTGGGTAATACAGCAGAGCTGGCCCTGCTAGTGAAGCTGAGCCAGCCTGGAAGGTGTAAGAGTGGGAGAGCTGGCCCAGCCCCTCACAGTCTGTGGCACTTGGGAGAGTAGGCCCTGTGCCTAGACTGGGCAGCGCAGTGGGGCTGCTCTGGAGATGTGGGTGCAGGTGAGCCAGCCCTGAGGTCATGAGAGGAGGAGAGCTGACACTGTCTCTGCTGATGGCAGCATTGGGTGGCCCAGCCAGGGCAGTGCTGGAGAGCTTGCCCTGGGGGTGTGGATAATCACACCTACCAGTGGGATGGCAACTCTGTTACTATTCAGGCCCAGATCCAGGGCTCTGAGATGTTGGCCCATCCCAACGTCTATATCATCTGCAAATGGATGAGATGTGTGAAAGGGCCAATTCTGCTGATTCAAAGCTGCAGGACTTCCATGACACAGGGCAACAACAGGATAACCATGAGGAGTCCCAGTAAGAATCCAATATTGATGGTGTCACAGAAGCCAGAGTCCTTGAAACAGACCAATGACTCATTGCAATGAACATTTGCGAGTGAAGATGTGTGGACAGAGGGACATGCTGTGGGACACACTGTGACACACTACAGCTTCCATTATGAAACCTTTTCCTACACTTTTGTTGTTGTTGTCGTCGTTGTTGGTGTTTGCTTTTTGTGGTTTTGTTGTTTGTGTGGTTTTTATTTGGTGGAGAAGTTGCAAGGGCAAAGGGCAGATGTGAGGGAATGGGGAGATGAGCAGGACTGGGGTGCAGGATGTGAAACTCACAAAGAATAAAAAGATCTACAGCTGGCTGTTTTTGTGTGTCACATGGCTACAGGATGCCCAGATAGCTGGTAACACTTACTTCTGTGTGTCTCTCTGTGTGTGTGTGTGTGTGTGTGTGTTTCTTCAGGAGGCTAGCATTTGAGTGCACATACAGTTCACTTGTTCTGGTGATATGAACATCTATCATTCACTCTGTTGAGGGCCCAGATAGAACAGAGGACCTTGTGCTGGGAGGGCCTCTTCATCTGCACGACTGTAACACTCCTTGTTCTAGGGCAGTGGTTCTCAACCTTCCTGATGCTGTGACCCTTTAATGCAGTTCCTCACGTTGTGGTGACCTCCAGCCATAACATTAATTTCTTTTTTTTCCACAATGGGGAGGGGGTTTATTTAGGGTGGAGGGCAAAGGTGGAGAGAGAAACGGGAGGAATGTCGGAGGGGAAAGAGAGCCCATAACATTAATTTCATTGGTACTTCATAACTGTAATTTTGCTGTTAGGAGTTGGAAATTAAATATCTGATGGTCTTAGGTAACCCTTGTGAAAGGGTCATTCAACTCTCCAAAAGGGTAGTGACCCACAGGCTGAGACTACTGTTCTAGGGCCTTCTTCTCCTCCTGCTGCTCCTCCTCTTCTGTCTCTTCCTCCTCCTTTTCCTCTTCCTTCTTCTTTTGAGACAAGGTTTCACTGCATAGCCTTTGCTGTCCTAGAACTTATAGATCTGCCCACCTCTGCCTCCTGAGTGCTGGATTCAAGGCATACACCACCACTGCTGGGCTTGTTCTAGGGCCTTCTGATACTGCTCTGCTGACTCGTTGGCCTTCACTGGACTAGAGACATACCCTCAGCTTTTCCTGAAGCTCCAGTTTGCAGACAGCAGATTACTACAGAGTGGAAACGTCTCAGCTTTTGAAGCTGACTGGGCCAACCTTTACTCCTTGTTCTAGGGCAGTGGTTCTCAGCCTTCCTGAGGCTGTGATAAGATTTTGTATGTTTAACTTATTCGATTATAGAAGATGAGCATTCTCATTTTGTTTATATATTTAACTGTGTAGACATATTGTATGTGTAACAAAAATGTACTGTGTATGTAGAAACATGTATATTTATATGCATAAAACAATTCAGAGGAATTTAACATATATTTATGTGTGTAAAACAATGTAGTATAATAAAATATATATTTATATGCTATATAATCAGTATATACTATTGGTTCTGTTTCCTTGGAGAATTATTCAAAGACTAGATTCTTCAAGATTTCTAAAATTAGTCATATAAATTCTCCTCATCCTCCATCCTTAGTTTGCTAAATGATTTCTGATGATTTTAAGGTGAAACAGGAAGAGGGAAGGGAGAGGAGAAGGCACGAGAGATCTTACCAGATAGGAGAGATCTTACCAGATAGGCACAGGCTGGCAACAGGGCTGAGGTTAGGAAATAGAATTTAAGGAGCTCTCAAAATTAGTACTGAAGTAAGAAACACTGTAATAAAAAATGAAAAGAAACGAAAGTTATAAAGATCCAAACAGTCAAAATGCTGAACTTGAATTAAAGAAGTTAATCTTTGACTTTCCAACACAATTTTCTTTTTACAGATCTTGAAAGAGCATTTATCAAATTCATATGGAAAACAAAAAGCCAAGGATAGCTAAGACACTCCTGAACAATAAAAGAACTTCTGGAGGAATCACCATCCCTGATCTCAAGCTGTACTCCAGAGCAATAGGGGTAAAAACTGCAGGGTAATGGTACAGAAACAGACAGACTGATCAATGAAATTGAATCAAAGACCCAGAAATGAACCCACACACCTAAGGACAGTTGGTTTTTGACAAAGAAGTCAAAATTATACAGTAGGAAAAAGTGAACGCATCTTCAACAAATGGTGCTGGTCTAACTGGATGTTTGCATGACGAAGAATGCAAATAGGTTCATATTTATCACTCTGAACAAAACTCAAGTCCAAGTGGATCAAAGACCTCAACATAAAACTAACCCTACATCTGACAGAGGGTTAATATCCAAAATATATAAAGAACTCAAGAAGTTAAACTCCAACAAACCAAATAACCCAATTGAAAAATGGGGAACAGAATTCTCAACAGAGGAATCTGGAATGGCTGAGAAACAATTAAAGAAACATTCAACATCTTTAGTCATCAGGGAAAATGCAAATCAAAACAACCCTGAGGTTCCCCCTTACATCAGAGTGGCTAAGATAAAAAACTCAAGGGACAGCAGATGCTGGCGAGGATGTGGAGAAAGAGGGACACTCCTCATTGCTGGTGGGACTGCAAATGTGTACAACAACTCCAGAAATCAATCTGGTGGTTTCTCAGAAAATTGGAAATAGTTCTACTTGAAGACCCAGCTATACTGCTCCTGGGCATATACCCCCACAAAATGCTCCACCATACCACAAGGACACATACTCTACTATGTTCATAACAGCTTTATTCCTAATACCCAGATGTTCCTCAACCAAAGAATAGATACAGAAAATGTGGTTCATTGATACAATGGAATATTATTCAGCAATTAAAAACAAAGGTATCATGAATTCTGCAGGCAAATGGATGGAACTAGAAAATATCCAGACCCAAAAGGACATATGGTATGTATTCACTTATAAGTGGATATTAGCCATAAAGTACAGAATACCCATGATGGACCCTACAAACCCAAAGAAGTTAAACAAGAAGGAAGATCCAAGTGAGGATGCTTGAATCTCACTTTGAAGGGTGAGTAAAATAGTCATAGGAGCCAGAGAGAGGGGGCAATCTGGATGGGAGAGGGGAAGGGGAGGGGGATGGGGGTCAGGATGAGGTGTAGGAAGAGACAGGAGAGAGGGCCAGAGGGCCAGGAGAATGAATGGAAATCTGCAGCTGTTAGGAGTGGAGACTGGGAGAATCTCTAGGAAGTCTCAGAGACTTGGGATGGAGGAGGATTGCAGGAATCAATGTGGGTGACCTTAGCCAAGATGCCTAACAATGGGGACATGGAACCTGAAGAGGCCACCTCCTGTAGCCATGCAGGACCCCCATTGGAGGGATAAAAAACACCAAGCCACCCCTAAAACTTTTGACCCAAAATTTGTCCTATCTAAAAGAAATAGAGGGACAAAGATGGGACAGAGACCGAAGGAATGGCCAACAAATAA